TCTATCCTACTTCGAAGCAGCTTCCAGCAGACAACGAGTGATACTTCGCGTGTCTGTGCGATACCCCTGTGCAACGCGGTCCAAATGGGCGTTCGGCCTCGTTGCTCTACCAATGGCGATCGGGTAAAGATCGATTTAGGGAGGGAGCAACCAATGATGGAAACGCCGCAGGTGCGAGCCGAAGTGTATGCATTGGCAATTCAGGCTCTGCCCTCTTGACCACCTCACTTTGCGGACTTTTTGCAAAATTTCGATATTTTTCGAATTTTTGCATTTTTGGACTGCTACGTGAAGCCCCGACCACTATGAAAGGCTCCCACTTAGAAGAGGATCCGCTCACTTCCCAAAAATGTTGCAAATCGGCAGCATATAGTCTCAGCTTGCATGCTAGGGTATTGGTCATTCGGGGCAAACTTTGTCTGACTTATTTGCTCCGAATGATGAACGCGACTCTAGCATGCAAGCTACTCTATACTGACGCTTGCACAATTTTTCAAAAGTGGGCTTCTTCGAAGTGGGCGCAGCGGCGCGGACGGCTGTTAGCATAAACGGGAGTCTGCGCCGCAAAAGGCATTGGGCGGAGCATGGAGGAATTAGCGTGTTTCACGGTCCTGTATCTCCATTCCTGCGCATGTTAGGACGGGGAAACCGCTACGCTTCGACAGCTGGGGGCTGATAGTCACGCACACCCAAACTATGTGTGATCGTACCATGTGTCTTTAAGCAACGCTTGCCCTTCGGTTCAGCGAGCTCTCTAAATACACAGATTTTCCGTCTGCGACTACGACCAATTCCCGTCTGCGACTACGTTCGCGTCTATAGCATTGGAGCGCTGCTGCAATCGTAACGCGTTGGAACACACACAGCGGGTTGGAACACATACGTTCTTCTCTGAAGTAGCGTTCAGACTGCGCGATGGCGTGGCAGCGCGTCATCGCGCAGTCTGAACGCTACCTCAGAGGAAAACGCGTGTTTTCACGGGGCCGAAAAAGGTCAGAAGGCGAACGGTCTTCAAGTGTGCCACGGCGCAAAATCCTAATGCACCACCACGCTCGCTTTCTTACAACGAATGAGCTGAACAAGTCTCAATTCCGAGCACGAAGCATAGGAAATGTAGAACAGCCTTGCAAACCTTTTTCAATTTCAGGTTGGTGTCACTGGAATTACTTTGAATGCTGCGGCTGTTGTGCTTATCTATCGCACACCCTCCTTCCATAATGCATTTGGCTACATTTGCGCATCACATTTGGTCGCTGATGTTGGCGCACTCACGATTTTCACTTTTTGGTCTGCTCCAGCAGCTCTAGCGTGAGTTTGGAAAGTCGAAAATTCGTGACTGTACTTTTTATAGCTAAGGCAGCTAGAGGGGGTAGACTTCAAGAGCAGGGTGATCTCATTGAGAAGTGAT